TAGATTTTAAAATTTTAACACATATTATATATCTTCATAAATTGTATTTACTTATTAATATTTAAACGGACATGTTCTCAATCTTTCAAATAAAATATCTTCGAACTCGAGCTTGGCTCATTCAATTAAACTAATCTTTGTTCAGGCTCAAATTCGGGCTGGAATTCAGTCTGACTGAATTTAAATGAGCTTTGACCCAATTGAGTTCAAACTGTTTGCGAAGATATTAGAGTAATTGTCACCCTTAGTCATCATGTACTCGGTAGACTCATAATGCAGAAAATAGGGAGAAGGACGTAAAGCTAAATTTCCACAAATTTGCATTCACCAGGCCTACTTTTCATTGCAGCTGCATCATCATATTATCTGGTATAGGAAAACATAATAACTAGTGTAATTTTTCACCTAAAGGTTTCCAACCACAAAAGGTAAAAGTAAACTTGTATAATAAACAAATGAGGGCAGGCACTCTTTCCTGAAGGAATGTCCCTAAGGACCAGGTCTTCCATAGCCAATTCTATCATTAATTGCAGGCCCCCAAATTCCATATTTATCACCATCCCCTCTTTAGCCACCATCCCTATCACATCCTCTGTCTAGATACAATTCCATTAGACAAAAGCTAAGCAAATAATCAATGTCCTTAAACTATTAATCAAGAAACAGATAAATAAATTGAGATACTTGCTATCTTGGCATTCCTTCTGCATACAGAAAGAACAATTAGAAGCACCTATTTAGATTAGTGTAAAACCCATTTAATCTCAACTAAGAAACTTGTTGCTTTGGCATTCCTGTTGGGTACGCAAAGGTTAAGCAGAAACAAGTATAAAAAAAATTGAAGCTCCTGTTGACATAAAATAAGACTTTCACTTTCAGATGGTACCAACTGCACAAAAAACAAACTTATAGAGGAATCTACAGTAGTAATTATGAATTAGCTTTCAGATGAACCTATATTGAGAAATATCAGCAAACAAAGCAAGATTATAATAATTCAAAATACGGCATGTACACTGAAATTATTTGTATTTTCCAACATAAAGTCTCGTACTGATCCACGTGAATGAGCACAAAAAAATATTCACATATAGGAACATTCGTTTGAAGACAGATATTCAATACTATAGTCACCACATTTATAGGAACATTTGTTTGAAGACAGATATTCAATACTATAGTCACCACATTTATTGTTAGGTGCATGCAAAACTCCATCCCAATCCCATTCCAACTTCCACTTTCAGGTGGAAACAAGGTGCAAAAAAGTAATTCTCAATGAACGTTGGTAGAGACAATCATTCAGTGGAAACTTTTATGAGGAATAAGTTTCTAGTCCACATCTCTAAAGATAGAAAATATCCACCAATCAGCGGTGGATACTCTTGGAACATCCAATTTTAAATACATAAAAAAGCAGAATCAAAATTTAATTAATACTCACTGTATTCCACTGCAAGTCATACATATGAAGGTCCAGAAATTCGTACAAACATACTGAGGACCCTGCAATCATTAATATGAAAAAAAAAAATTAAATGATGCACTTCACGTAGCCTAAAACAAACAAAATCTAGAAGATATTAACATAAGCAGCTCAAATCAAACTAATTACTCAAAAATCATAAAACTAATTACTCAAAAATAAAACTTGATAATTAATTATTGGAATTAGCTTCACTCAAGTAGATAATCAAATGCCAAAGTTAAAAGACTCTTCAAAAATCTCTAACTACCCTTTCCTCACATATTTTATAAGCAGCAAGTACGCCTACTGTGTAAAACCATCAGCTAAATCTTGCACACTGGAAAGAAACAAGACAGAAGAAGGCAAAAAAAAAGGAAAAGAAAGACATAATGAAACCCATTTGCTACTGATCAAGACCAGATAGAAGACACTACACTGAATCCGTGATCAGAGAAAATTCCGACACTTCCAAGAAAGTGAAAATCATTTTACCAAGCTATTGCAGTTGATACACCGACGATTAGGCGGCAGCTTCATGAGACCACGTATGATCTTCTCGTTTCTCTCTTCCTCTTTTCTGCTACCCATTTCTCGATTTAAAAAAAGAAAAAGCAAAACCTCCAGGAAACAAAACCCTAGACTCCAAAAATTGGAACGAGTGCTGTTCTTGTAGAAATGGAAAGACAAAACTCAAAACGAACAAAAAAGGAAGGAAGAAATTCAGCTGAAATTCTTGAAGGGTATGAAGATTTTCTTCCAGAAGATTTTGAATTGGAGAAAAAATTGAAAATTTTTGGAAATTATATGTGGGTTTTTGTTGAATCTCTCTGGGAAGGAAAGAGAAACAGACTGTTGAATCAGCTAATGTTGGAAAAAAAACAAGGCTTTGTGCCATTCATTATGAATCCAAAAAATAAATACATAATATAAAAATATATAATATAATAAAAAATTAAATCAGCGTGGCTCCTCTTGTTCAATTATATTATTTATTTAATTTAAATATGAGTGGAACTGTAGTAATTTTTGCCACTTCCAGGTTGGTAATTTGGATTCTTCAAAAAAAAATTTCTTCTTTTTAGGAAGTTACCAGTAAATCTCCATTAACGGCACATGAATCAACTTCGTTTTTTCAAAAAAAAAAACAAAAAAAAATTATACTAAAATGAGATAAATATTACTTTGTACCCATTTGTTCTAAAATATAGAAAACAGAATTTGTGATAAAAAAATTTTATTTTTTATTATAGTGTAATATATATTTACTTTTATATTTAGATAAGAGTTGAATTTCTAAATTTTATTTTTAAAAAATTAAAAAAATATTATCTGATTTAAAAATTATATTTTAATTGTTATATTTCTTAAAAATAATTTTATATTCTGATAAAATTTATTGTAATTGTTTATTATATACAATATAACAAAAGTAACTAATCTCTAATTCTATTAAACAAAATATTATAATACTCAAATTAAAAAAACTTATATGAAAATTAAAAAAATAATTATATTAATAGCTGAATAAAGAACATATATTGAAGAGGAGAAACAATAAAAGAAACGAACATAAACGTTAGTGATACAACAAACTGACTACCGAAAAAAGTTCTTCCTTAGAGGTTTTATCCACCACATTATTGTGTAAATAAAGTTACTTTCTTTAGAATACGAGATCAATAGTATTTGATGAGATACTACTAAATTAAACATTCAATTAAAAATTACTATTTCCTTACATTATTCCTTTTTTTCTTTGAAAAGTAGAGAACTACCCTTTTGTTCAAGCTTGTTTGTTTATCATTCTCCTTCATTATCTTATTCTTTTAAAAATTTTATACATATAATCAAAATATAAAGAGCAACTGAAAATTTTCTTTAATTAAGTTAACGTGTGACTTATAGAGTTCTTCAATTAGATGCGATATGTATTGTTTGCCTAAATTTGAAAGGGGTCTAGACATTAAGAATCTTTATGGTAAAAACTTGTTTTGACTAGCTAAATAGGTATGGTGATTTTTTTTTGTATGTAATTCTTTGTGGTGCTTAAGAAATCTTTATGAATCCAAAAATAGTTTCTTTACAACTTTTTCTCTTTTCTTAGATAAAGAAGGGTGGCTTATGGTTTTTTATTTCTTTTTCAGAAGAACATTTGCGTTGTCTTGCTAATTATATGCCCTTATATCTTTTTTTATGAACCTTTCGAATGCTTTTATTATTAAAATATTTATTTTTTCTTAAAATCAATAATTGTAAGCTGACAATATGATCTTTTTAGTACAACTTTTGGCTCTATTATTTTTTCTACTAACTCAACTTTGAATTTTTTGGTAAAACTTATACTTGCAAATTATGTTTATTTTATAACTCCTAATTATTCAAGTAATAATAATGTATTTAATAAAAAATTTCTATAAGGCTCATGCTTTCTTTTAAGTTCAAAGTCATTAATTAAACAATCATTTTGAATAAATTGAATATCATTGATTTGCTCCAAACTTCCAAATAAAAATAAGCTTTATTTCCTAGAATATATGTAGTGTGGTTGGAGTTATAGATACTCACACATGTTCTCTTTTGCATTATGATTTAGCTTATATCTTTGGTGTGACTTGGATTTTTCATTATCACGTTGAGATGTCATTTCTTTATTCTTCGTAAGTTTGGCAAGAGAAAAGAAAGTAAGATGTTTTTAGTAGGAAGTCATTATAACACTCGAAAAATCTTTGCACTTAATTTGTAATATGAACCTTTATTTATTCGGGTCTAAATGCCGCTTAAATTCCTTAATATATTGTAATTTTAATTTTTCGGACAAATATCGTATTTCGTATTTTTATTTGATTTAATAATTTTTAAATTTTATTATTTTATTATTTTATTTTGTTGTAAGAAAACTTTATTATATTTATTTAAAATGAATTTCAGGAAAAACAAAAAAACGGTAGAAAATCCTGCTGGCATTGATCATGTTCGTGCGGGCTTGGCATGTCGCATGCGCATGCAAATGGGTGCAGCTCTGTGCACCCTGTGCGCGCACCATCCAGTAGTAGGCCTACACGCAACGCCCTGCGCGTTGTAGGGCCTACGCGTAGCACCCTGCGCGCTGTAGGGTCTGTGTGCGGGACAGGCTGGGCCTGCAGCACGCAACTAGTTCGGGCAACGTGCGATTGCCTTGGGCAATGCACACCACCCCCTTGGGCACCACGCACCGCCTTTGGGCAGCGTGCCACCGTCGTTTAAACAATGTGTCATCGTCACATCACATCGTCCATCCGTCAGTCGTCACATTACTTCTTTTTTCCATAATTTTCTCTCTCCTCACTAAATTTCACTACTTGGTGCAAATTCAATGGTCTCCATTTTCTATAAATAGGGACCTTCTATTCACCATTTTCTCATCACTTCCATTATATTCTTCCATCCTCTGAGAGCTTAGAGAGAGAGAGAGAGAATGATCTAGAGAGTGAAGGAGAGGAGAAGAAGAAGAAAAAGTGTAGGAAACATCAAGGTTTCGATAAAAAATTCAATATTTATTTTTAAACATCCTAAGCAGTATTTTTAGAACAAAAATTAATAAGGTCTAGATTTATTATTTGCATGGTTGAATTTTATGCCTAAATTAATAATTTTACATGATAATGCATGTTTTATAATCATATATGAACTTGTTAATTTACATGTATAATTTATATGATCTGATACTCGAAATAAATGTTAATATGTGATGGTATTGATGATGGAAAATGATTAAGCATGAAATGGTATATAGACATGAGAAATATATATTGGTATTAGCATGCATAATTCATAAAGTATTTTGTTATATTTTTTTATCTCTTAAGGGTTTCTGTTTCTCTCCCCATTCAGCCTAAAAATACGTGAAATGATCGCTTTCTGTAGATGATGATGTACCCTCTGACGAGAGTGGTGACGCGATATGATTGTAGGGGTCACATTTGACGAAGTACGATCGTGACCATAGTTAACATATAAGACAACTGTTGTAATACCCTAATTAATTTTAATTGTAATTAAAATTAATGAATAAATATAATTTTTTAATTCTTATTTAATGTAAAAATGAAGAAAATTAAATGGATGATGAAATTGAAAATAATTTTAAAAAATGAAAATTTAGATTTTAAGGGTATTTTTGAAAGAAAAATCAGAAACTGAGAGTTAAAATGCAATTTAAAAAAATTGTGTCACGTAGGACGCCCAGTCAGCAGCCTCGACGAACTGGAGCGTGCCGAGTGGTAAGGGATGCTAATGCGATGCCATACAGGAGGCCACACTGGTGATTCGCGTTCCCGCGATCGGATGGTCCAAATTCATTTCCGCGCGCACGGATGATCCGGATCCGTTCCCTCCCCAAACGCTATCGGACGAACAGATTTAAACACGATGAACAGTCCAGATCCACTTCTTATTTAAACACGATCAGACGACCTAAATCAGATCGCGATGAACAGCCCAGATTCACTTCTTATTTAATCGCGATCGGATAGTTCATATCAAACGTGATGGAAGGTCCAGATTAAAAGGGGACAAATATAAATAACTCTCTTCACACCAAACTCTAACCCTAGCCAGCGCTGGAGAAGAAGACCCTATTGCCGGGGAGAAAGCCGATCGTCGCCGCCGTCGCGCCGAAGCCACTTCCGACCGCCAAAAGAGGTAAAAAAAAAATTTTTACTCGAAATTTAATTTTAAACACCCCAATGGCCAAATCAGAGTTAAATGATAGACGGATTGGTCAAAAATCGCGTACATACCCCGGCGGGACGTCGCGTGAAAATGCAAAAATTGCCTCCGATAAGGCCCTTCCCGATTCCCGTTATGCATAATTCTTCTACCATTGTAATCACTATTTCATTCTGTACAGGTTGATTGAAGCAAAACACCCAACTGCGAAGGTGAGCCAGCAGAGTCGTCGCACTGAAGAACTCTGCTGCCGGTAAGCTTCAATTTTTTCAACTTTCTTTGGTCAACCAAGACCCTTTAATGTGTTTTCTCGCAAGGATTGGCACAAAATCGGCCGAAAACAGCCGACCCGAGGTAAACTACCACCATGGGCAGCGGTGTCGTCATTGGAGCACGGAGGAGCCGCTGTGTCGAAATTTTAGAATTGGCCAAAAAGGGTTCCTAACACTGATTTTGAATTTTTTAAGTTATTTCTAGGTACTTGAAGCGCGTTTTAATCCCTGAAAAAAAATTAAAGAAACTTGAGAACCGCCAGTAGACACAATCAAAAGTTAGTATTTTGGACATTAGTTTGAGTAAGAATCTCTTAACTTATTCCATGTTGTGGAATTGAAGTTTAATTTTAAATAATATGATATTTTGTGAAACTTAGAAAACATTCATAATTAATTACAGGTTACTAATAGAGCCGAAACTGGTTATTTACTATTATTTGTTATATTTAATCGATTTTCTGATTTTACAGTTTTTGAGTGCATGATAATACACTGAAATTTATATAATGATGCGATCGTATTCCTTTGATGCATACTTTGCTTGTTTTGTGTGGCTACAGTTGAATTGAAAAATTGAAAATCAAAGATAAACGAGAAATTATTTGATTACGTGGATAGATAAAACAACAGCCTTACTGAATATCTTGGAAGATGGTGGACGGATCGAGTACATAGGAAACCCTACCGTGAATGCTGCTTCATACCAAATGGGGTATCGAGATTTGGTAATTTGGTACTCATACTAGACGGAGTATGGGGATGACCCGTTTCACTCTCATACCAGACGGGGTATGGGGACCGCTTGTTAATTAAAAATGTAAAAAAGATGGTTCATGTGTAGTAGGGACATCCCTATGAACCCTCATGGATACCAGTAGACTGATAAAAAGGAAGGTTGTTGTTCCGACTGATCGTATATGAAATTATGATATGTGTTATGTTATTGACTCTATAGGTTATTTTTGGTAATCTCGCTATGGTAAGTATGCGTTAAATGATTTTATTTATGAGAAACGAATTTATTTAAATTAAGAGCTCCATTAATTATTTTTATGATTTCTACCGACCTTCATTTTTGTGTTGGTGAGTAGCGTGATATTCTTACTGAGTTAGTGTAGCTCATTATTTTATTAACTATTTCAGCTCAAGAGGACCAGAATCCAGAACCCGATCCACAAGTGGTTTGCGAGTAGGACATTCAGTTTGTTTATTTTTAAATTTTTTTTTTGGTTATTAGTTGTTCTTTTAGAAGAGTTATTCCTGTAATTCCCATTTGATACTTTCAGTTATTGTGTAAGAAATGTAAACTCTAATTTATTATTTCACTTCCGTACTAAATTTATAATTTATCGCATTTGGAGTTTTCGGGGTCGTTACAACTGTGGTTAACACAGTCGTGGTCATAGATCATGTCATGGTTTGACAAGCCGCAAATATGATGTTGGTTTATCATACCGTAAATATATTAGTGGTTTGGCGAGCCGCAAATTGCTATTATAAATGAATTAAATTGGTCGTTCCACATGGGTAGTCGAAGATTCGTATTACCCTCAGTAGATGGAAGTTAGAACGACTTTGCAAAGAATAACTCGAAAAACAGTACATATTCATGATTTGTTTGATTTTCTCTATTATCAGCTTGACTAGTTCGATTGACATAACTATGACATAATAGATTTGATATTTTCTTTAATAAATAAATTATTTTCATAATTTAGTGAAAGACTCTAACATGATTCTTGATGGTAAGTAATTATGATATTTAAATTACTTTCAAAATTTTATGATATTATTTAAATGTTATTTTTCTCACTAAGTATATGGAGGTCATCCCTTTTTATGCCCCCTTCTAGATGAGCAAGATAATAAGGAACCGATTGCTAATCTACTCCTTGAAGTCTTTGAGAATCTCGTAGATACATAAACTTTTTTGAGTGCATGACTTATCTCGCACTCTGATGAGTATTTTTACATAATAATAAAAGTGAATTTTTTAGTATTTTGATATTTTATATTTTGTTGTCACTTTTGGCCTCAGTTATATATATAATTGAGTACTTATATATTTTGTAGGTAATTTATAATAAATTACTCAGCTGCATACATTTAACTATTATACACTTGTAATCTTATTTTGTATCTGACATCCTTATACTTTAATTAGCATTTGAGATATCACAATCATCTTTGTTAGTCTATTAGTAACGTGGTTGGAAAGAAATATCATAATATGCAGTAAGTTTATGCTTAACTTTAAATTTTATAAGATATCTTATTTGGGCTAAGGTTTATAAATGCTTTGAAATATTATTTTTTATCTTTTTGTATAAAGATTGGACCACAATTATTTTTTTAAGAGGTTTTGCCTATCCTATTTTCTTTTATTCTCTTTTAATTTTAGGAAAATATCTGATTTTTTTTTTCTCACTTCAATAGTTAAAAGTTCTAACTATATTTCATTATCGTAAAATAGTTATATTGAATTATAAGTAGAGCATTTCCTTGTTAAATTTCACTTGAGTGTGAAGTATAGATTATCATCACAATTGAATTCTAGTGGAATGAGAGATTGCAATCTTTTTATTGGATGATCTTTTGTAAATAATTTTCTATATAATATCTTATTATATTATATCTAATTGAAAAATGTATATTATTATACAATGTTATGGTGCTTACATATTATATATTTTTATTATATATATTTATATTACATTATAATACTATTTTAAGTAGAGTTAAAGTTCGACAAATAGATGGAGAAAAGAAGTGTGATATTGCTATATGACTTCTATAAAGAAAATAAAAATTTCATCACCAACTTACCTCGCCTCTCTCGAGTTCTTCTTTGCTTATGCTTATGTTAGTAGAAAATTGTTGAGATGAGCATATACACTCATTTAGTAGGGCATTTGCATGGAGATATCGCATTGAAAAAAAGTACTAAATATAATTCTATTATCACGTAGATTTAATTTTTATTATTTTTAAAAAAATTTATTTTAAAGATTTTAAAAAATGTAAGAATCCATTTAGATAAAAAATTATTATAAAAATTAAAATAAAAAATGAAAATAATTATTTATTTTAAGTATAATATAATTAGTAGAGAGTTAAACCTACATCCAATTTTATTTTACTTTGGTAAGTTGCTCGAAATAAAGCAACAAAATCCGTGAATTAATCTAGAAATTTCTTGATCATAACCAATATTTTTGGAATTTAAATTGAACGGCCAAGATTAAGCTACAGGCGATTCTCATTCATTTTAAGCTATCGCTCTTACTCTCTTCCTCCAGCTTCCGAGTTTTGGTTCCTTATCTGCGTCTCTCACAAACTCCATGGCCACTTTCCTTAAAACGCCGTCGTTTCGAGCTCCTCTTCCTCTCCTTCCGCGTATATCCCCATCCATCTCCTTAAAATCACCAGAGCCCTTTTGCATTTCTGTAAGGAGTCGTAAGCAGGGAAGCACCAACAATGGCGGATTTGTTCGTACAAGTTCTCTTCGGTTGGCTAGTAGGCACTCCTTCCGGTTCGTGAAGTTGGTGCCATTCGCTTCGGGCGGAGGGGAAACTGAGACTACCGAGACCCAGGAGGAGGTTCATGAGTCTGAAATCCAGGTATTACTCCTATTTATTATCTGAAAAAAATAGTTTTTGTTCAATGTTACCTCTTTTTTGTTTGTAGAATATAATGTTCGATTAGTTTGAATTAGTTGTTGAATTTGTTTAGTTTTGGATTCCTTAAGGCCATTGTGACTGCTACTTAGACTATGTTTGGAATTCTCTTGTAGGTTATTTTCATTACTTTGTAAATTTTGACACTTAGGATTTATGTAAATTTAGCATATCAAAATGGCATTTTTTTCAAGGGAAAAAAAAGAGAGGGGGCTATATGAAAGTTTAACATATGAAAAGGGCAATTTTTGGGATGTTTGTGTCTGTGTGTATTTCTTTTTTTTTTTTTTTTTCCTTTTTGGGGGGAGGGGGATGGCAAGGGGAAGGGGGGGAGGAGGGATTACGGTTATGCTTGTTAAGTTTGGGAAGAGTAATGGATGTGTGCCTCTCCTCTTATGTTATTCTTGCGGATTTTCGGTATAGGAACATTGATTTGGATATATGTTATCAGATAAGGGTTGCATGGATCATCTACGTGGCTTTCCCGCTGAATATTTAGCCGACAACATGGATAGTTCTTTAAATCTGATATCCTCTAGGTTTGTGGTAAAGCAATACATTGCATTGAAAGATTCCCTGATGTGAGCAGTGGGGGAATCACACACCCAAACTTTTGGGTGACCATGATGTTGTTGGGTTTGAAGCCCTAGCGAAACAAGGGAGTCACCATTTACAAAGATCTGGAAAAGGAATAACACAATTCCTTTTCTTTTAGGAGAACTGAATAATCCATCTCATTTAAACGTCCAAAAGTTATGTATGTTCTAGGAACCTTCTCAAAAAAGGTAGGATCTAGGAAAATTGTTAGGTACTCTAAATTGCTTGAACATTGTAGCGGACCTCCCACTTATTGCTTGATCTTATTAGTCCTTTTACTGGTGGAAATAGTCTATCATTAATCATGCAACATATACAGATTTACATATATATGTATGCACATATATCTGTTAGTCCTTTTACTGGTGGAAATAGTCTATCATTAATCATGCAACATATACAGATTTACATATATATGTATGCACATATATCTGTTAGTTTATTAGCATGCATCCATAAATACATAATTTGTATGATTTAGAAAATGTTTACATGAATGCACGATTTAAGAGATAATAAAGGAGCTTTACATATTTAACACATTTTGATATATAAGGCAAATATTGTGGTGCCGGAGTAAAATATTAATACTCATGGTTCTCATATATAGAAATAAGCAGGCTGAAAAGGGGATTTAGAATTTGTGATGACAGGGTACAGTCACATAGCTTTTTAGATAGTCCATGAGACACTGATTCCAGTCATGTGACTTTGGAGCTGAGTAATAAGCCTGAACCTCTGTCAACAGAGCAAGGTTAATACCAATCAATAGAAAGACGCTAGTACGACATTAGTGATTTTAAATTACTAACCAGATTTTAAATTAATCAAGTAAGAAAAGTGATTGAACTGAATGTTACCCTTGGGTCTTATGCCCTCCTAAGTGGGGAAATGACTTCTTCCTTTGCTTGCTTGGTTTGGTTTGAGCGAAATTTGGTAGCTAAAGCTTATGAATATATGTAAAGGTTTGTAGAGTTGGGGAGTAGGTAAGGAAGTTTAGGTGAGTCTAAGGCTGAGCCAGATGGCTTTCTAGATAATTCCCAAAGGATCCTTCTTAATAAAGGCTAAACCGATATCAAATTGTGTTTAATGGTTGGTTATCCAGATACAATGGATTTTTGGTCACAAAGCCAGAATGGCATTTATGCTAAAAATTCTTTATGTTAAGATGGTGTTTGGTTTGGCTTTTTTGAGTTAAACCACCCAAAAATGCTGTAGAGGTGTTTGTTTCTCTTATTTTGGTTTATGAGCCAATGACTAATAAGAAGAGTGAGAAAACTTTTCTTTTTGCCTTATAAATGATGCAATAAAGCCTATTTCGTCTTTTGTGCTTTTCACTAAATTTTCTTTATTAAAAATTACTAAACATTTCGGTGTCATTTTTAATAATCTTATTAAACATTGTTTTACCAGACACTTATTATTTTTGAAGACCTTGTAAGTCAAGCAAAAATGCATTAACTGGACATATTTTTCTCTAATTTTCTATGAGCTTATAAATCTTGTTAGCTTATAAATCCCACCCCCACTTCTAAGCCTAGAAAAATTTCAAACCAAATGACCTCTAAGCATACAATGGCGTATTTCTATTTGCTTCCACTAAACTCTGGTCGAAGGTGCAATATAACATTTACTAATTGTTAATGAGATGCATGGATTATTTCAAAAAAAAAAAAAGAGATGGATGGATTAAATGCTATCCCCTTAGAGATTGAAATAGATCACTTGATTGTTTTAGGGAAGATGAGGTGATTGTCTTGAGCATCGAGCTTGGATAGAAAGCTGTAAGCTTAGAGATTTTGTTATCATTAGTTTGTTCGAGGTCTTCAAACAAAATAAGATATGTTACGATATCCTTGTTGATTGTCTCTAAGCTCATTCCTTATGCTTCTTCAGCTAGATGTTTCTATTTCCTTTGCCTCATTGTTTTATGAGGAAATATATTGCATAGATATATTGGTTGGGGATCTCTATTTTATTTGAACTTAAAGGTCACTCCTTTTAAACATACTGTCCTGTCTACTGTTTAAGGTGAAGTAAGAAACCAGTCGTATTTCTAGAAAGCTTAAAATTGATACCTTCTTCATTATCGTCCTGCTTTGTTAAATGCCCACTGGAATTCCAGTTGGCTTTATGTTCCATGTAAACTTCTTTAATAAGTTTTTCATGTAGTTGGATTGATTGATGAAGATGTCATATTTGCTTTGCTTGATTGAAGTCCAGAAAATAAGTAAATTCTCCCTTCATACTCATTTTTAATTCAATTTGCATGCACTTGGAAAAGTACTTGCACATGTTTCCATTAGTAGCTCCAAATATTACGTCATCAGCATAAATCTACTAAGTTAAAGTGTGTTGTTTTTTGAAATGGGTTGGAAACAGAGTGGAAGAGCAATATTTTGATCAGAGTCTATCATGCAATTTAAATGCAGAGAATATGGTGTTTAAAGTTTTTCAATGCCTTCGAATGGGTTGACAGTTTTTTTTTTTGAAATACGAATGGGTTGAGAAAATTTAGATACTTCATCTTCTCTTCAGCATCATGGTCTCATTCATTGTCAATCTCTTAAGAAGCTGGTGGGGCTAAAGATTCCCTGCATGGTTGCTAATCCATGATTCTTGTTGTTAGCTGGAAATTGAGTATCATTTAGATTTCTTCTCAAGTCTTCAGGTTTTATTAGAAGATGTGTAAACATGTAAAGTTCAGTTTGAGCCCATTGAAGGTTTTATCAAATACGTTTCTTAATCAAAAGATTTAGAACTTTTGAAGTTTCTCCCATTGAACAGTTACATCTTTTTCAGAAGAAAAAAATATGATTATATTTAGATGATACCAAGTAGGTCCAACCTAAATGGAAGAATTTAGAAACAAGTAAAAGTATCGACAGAGTTCCCCAAATCCTCTACAACGTGAACCAGTTGATCCTTAAACCTAAAAGAAAAGAAGTCAAATAACCCAAACAGTAGCCAGGGGGTTAAGAGAGATCTTATCACCTCGATAACATATCATGACCAAAGTTCGTCTGCTAGAGAGCTTTATGTATTCTGAAGAAGTCAAGAACCATACAGCGTGGTAGCATGTGAAAGATACGTTAACAAAATCTAGTTCAGGATTTCAACTGCACTCTAAAATTCTGGAAAAAAGCATCCATGCGCAGGAAGAGCTGAACTCTATTGTTTCAGCATGTATAGTCGTTGATATGCCCATGATGACGATGAACACATTGAAGATGTCTCTTTCCATAAAGCACATTATGAATGTCCCATGTAAACCTTTTTCCCTTTCAACTATATAATTGGTATCCACTGGGTTCCGTCCTGCCATTGAACCTCCAGTTTTTGTAATTTCTCTTCTCCCTCAGAAGAATGATATAGAATGGATTTGATTGGTATTTCTGAATGTACTTTTATGTATGAAAGTTTAATGCAACTATAAGGAGTACTATTATAATTTTTGTAGCATTATGATTTTATTTATGCTCTAAATGTCTTTTAGGTTTCCTGATGAAATTTCTAGTCATAGTTAGATTAGGATTAACTTAAATCCGTATGAGTCAACCATTATTCAGTGAAAGTAATTATTAGGATTAAATTAAATCCTTATGAGTCAACCGTTATTCGGTGAGAGTAATATGCGGATTTTCTGTCTACCCTGGTTCTTTGATGCAATCTAAACTTTAATTGTGATACTTACGGACAAATCTTTTTAGGTGTAGTTTCTAAGAAACTCTAACTTCGACATTTATGTTAAATTCAATTTCCTAAGTTCGCAGATTAATACCTAGTTTTTCATGCACTAAAAAAGTCCCAAATTCCAAAGATTTTATTTGAAGTGTATGTTCAAGTTTTGCAGTTGGTGTTAGGTTATTCAAGCTATTGGAAAGTATGTGTATAATAATTGTTTAGTTTTTCTTTTCAAATGTAATGTTAGGTTATTCAAGCTATTTAAGATATATTAGTGTAATTTTCAATTTATAAGGGTTTACAAATGTTGATCTTTTCCTTGTTAGTTCTCATATTTCTTTATTTGATTGCGATTAATACATGTATAAAAGTTTCTAATCAAGAGAATAATATTGGATTTGAAGATTACTTCAGTCAGTCAGTAATTTACTTTGGTCAGTAATTTTGTTCTGGTATCTTGTTTTCTTCCCTGATATTCTGTTTTCCTTCCCCAAGTTCCTCGATTCAACATCTCATTTTACTGATGCAAAAAGAGAATAGGCTAAAGTGAAATATTTTAGTGTTAGGAGAGATCTCTTTTTTTAGTAATTATGAAATCTTGACTCATGGATTTATGTGACAGGATTCTTCAGATGGCACTGGTGGTGTTGAAGGTAGCTCAGGTGCTGATGAAGTTAGTAATGTTGAGGAAATGACTAGCTCAGTTGTCTTGATGTCACTCCAATCATATAAAGAAGCTTTAGCAAGTAATGATGAATCCAGAATAGAAGAAATAGAATTGTTCTTAAAATCCATCGAAGACGAGAAAGTTAATCTTGAGAGGAAAGTGGCATCTTTATCTGATGAATTGTCAGCAGAGAAAGAGCGGATTCTTAGGATCAGTGCTGACTTTGACAATTTTCGCAAAAGGACAGAGAGGGAACGCCTTTCTCTGGTGACAAATGCTCAAGGAGAGGTGGTTGAGAAACTATTGCTTGTTTTGGATAATTTTGAGAGAGCTAAAACCCAGATTAAGGTGGACTCGGAGGGAGAAGAGAAGATCAATAATAGCTACCAGAGCATATATAAGCAGTTCCTAGAAATTTTGGGTTCACTTGGAGTCCTCCCTGTGGAGACAATTGGAAGACCTTTTAATCCACTGGTGAGTTCCTTTTCTGGCTTTATCCAAAGTACAAAAGAATCTTACTAGCATTAGCCATTATTTTGTGTGGAACCGCTAATAATTATACGAGATGAAAAATTAACCAAAATAGAAAACAGCCATAGTGAAGATTGAAAATATATAGTTGAATTCGGCGGGACAGTATGTCTTTTCTGGTTATGCAAATTCTTTTTTAGATGAGTAACCTGTATCTCTGGTCTGTAATTGGCATAACAACTGGACCTGTTGATTGTTGGCTTAATGCAGGTGAAGCACCGAGTTAGCTCGAAATTCAGTCGAGTATTTGATGAACTTTTTGAAATGCTTAATCAAGTTTCTTCAGGTTTTATGAAGACCTGGATACGCTTTTAATTCAAACTAAGTCTCGATTGATTCAAGCTGACTCGGTGAGTTCACGTGCTGCTATATATGGGTGAAACATGGATTGTAATTGTGGCATAAAAAGCCTAGTTACAACATTTAAAGAGGTATATTGGGTATGGACACAGGATGGTCTATACCTAAGCGGATAAAAAGTCTTTTACTTACCACAAACTGCTGGGTAAAACTTTCTATCTGTTAATCTATCTCATTTGTTTGTTTTTTAATTTAAAAATAATTAATTAAAATTTAATTAAAAATCGTAAGTGTTGATCAAAATAAAACATAATTTAAAAGAATATTTAAATAAAATACTCAATTACAAATAAAAAATAACGTTATAAATATATAACATTTAACACTTATTGATTAAAATTTATTTAATTTGAGTAGAATTAAAAATAAAATAAATTAATTGTATATATATAGCCAGGGGGGGGGGGGACTAGGTGGGTGTAGGGTGGTAAATTATTGAACCCATATCTGCTTCATGTTTGTTGTGAGTTTATAACTTTTTATCCATATCTGTTCTGTCTTGTTAATTGTAGATTTTTAACCGCCTCATTAAAGATAGTTAAGAGACAGATTAGTGGATCACCGGCCTCAATGCCCATCCTTGTATGGATAGTTAAGTTGTCAAAAGTTACGTGAAAAAGCTAGCGATTTGTGATAGTTCTTAAAACACAAGAAGTCAACATTCTTCTTTAGCTTTTCGTGGAGGATGAATTCAGACAGTTCTTTTGACAAACATATTTTCTGTTTTTCTTTGCAAAAGCTGCATGAAGCAATAATGCGTGAGGACTCTGAAGAATTTGAAGAAGGAATCATATTAGACGAATATCGCAAGGGTTATATACTGGGTGAACGGCTTTTGCGCCCGTCAATGGTGAAGGTGTCAGCTGGCCCTGGTCCAGCAAAGCCTGAGCAGGTAGAACCATCAGAAGCAGACATTAGCCAAGGTGAGACTTCAGAGAGCAAAGAAACCTCTGAGGATGAAGTGGAAGCGGGATCATCTTCTTGAATGCCAAATGTGCAGGTTCAGATTCATCAGATTCAGTTTTGTAAAAGGACGAGGTGTTATATTATACTTTATGCTCCTGATAGGTCTTTTGAATTTTGGCTGGCTGTGATTGCTGGGAGATTATATTGCTACTGGTAATGTAGTTTTTGTTCACAGGAATTCATATTATTGTTTTTGAGGAAATAGCATTTCCTGGGAAAGTAATTTATATTTTATAGCCACGGATTCTTATAGCTTATGTTGAAAGGGTTGTAACCTTCAGCAAAGATTTGTGTGAAAATGGTCTTTTGTTGGTACAAGTTTGCATGTCGCTGATCTAAAAAGTCTCTTTCCCTGGGGTTTACACGCACGGGAAGACACTACAAAAAGAAAAGGTTGACGTACTTTCTAACCCTTATAACCTTATCTCTATCGCACATGTTTGTTGTGTAGATTTGACTTGTAGGACTTTTAGAACCTCTCTCTCACGCATGTATGTTATGTAAATTGACTTTTAGACGCAGAACAGCTTCTGTTCAAATAAGATCGATCCGATTGTTAGGTTTTGTTCTCGAGAGAGTTTTTCGTATTAGCATCCCACTTAAGATCTCAAAGCAGATAATTGAACCGAAACAAAATAGAAATTTTTTTTTTTTTTTTTAAAAAAATAATCTCTAAATCAAAATATACAGATTGGGGAACATTCCCCAGGGAGTAGATCCAGCTCGAGATGCCAATGAAAAAGGCAATTCCAAGTACTTTAAAAGGAAGGGGACCAGACCATACCCACCAACCATCGTCTGTCTCCGGACGAATCTTCTCCTGTATTTCATTCCTCATAAATCTAACAAAACAAATGATGTTACTACTGAATGGGTCCAACAAAAGTAGAGCTATTTATATATATATATATATGTGTCTACGTATTTAATTATTAACATCTTAATATTCTAATTGAAAGACAACGAGTTCCAATCTCATTAAGAATTAGATTTCTTTAATTCATATTGCTTAAATTCAATATTACGTAAAGTTTAGTTTATTAATGTATCGATCTTTAAATTATAATAAATATAAGTTAATTATAACTTTTATTTATTATAAATTATAATTAACATATTTAATCGATTTTTAAATTAATTTGTTCGTATATTTAATTTTACAAAGAGTAAATTTCGTAGTCTCTTATATATCAAAAAAATAATTAAAAAAATAAAATTATTAAAATACTATTTCTATTTATTTTCTTGTTATATTTTATATTTCTTAAATAATAAATTCAAACAATTATTCCAAATTTACTAAATATTAAAATAATTTAATAAATAATAATAATATGAGATAATTTAACTTTAATGATTAATTAGTTATCTTAAAACCTTAGATTATGTTAAAAACAAATTAATTATATCATGATTTAACAATGAGAGAGTAGATTTTCATTATAAACTAACTAAAATTGTAAGTAATTAGACAGTTTCAAATAAAATTTAAGACAAGATATTCAAATTCCAATCGTACAACAAATTTTCAACCAGCGGCATATATCCCCATCAAGAAAGATTGAAATATGAATATTATAATAATTTTTATTAATTATAATATATTTTCTTTATTAAAAGACATTAGTAAATTTTGGCCCTATAAATTAACATCAAAATTTAGAGGCGAATTATTGAATGAAATTGACAAGTAGAATTAAATCTACGACACACTCAAACTAATAATTCTTTTGTTTTTTCTTCTTTTTTTTGGTTACAACACGAAATTATTAAAACTCGTTGAAATCCAAAATTATAAGACTCCGCACGATTGATTAAATAATACTCGTATTTATTAATGCACTAATAAAAATAAATTTTAAATTTTATTAAATTAAATATTATAAACTTGACTTATAACATATTTAAAAAAATAATAATTTAACATTATTAATATGCAAAATCGTACGTAATATAATATATATGATACCCATAACTCATAACTCAACTTCTGATATAAATTCAGTATTCAGATTTATATAAATAAAAAAAATAATACATGAATTATTAATAATTTTAATTAAAATATATTAATATTCGTTTCTACTATTATCGAAATAAATTATTTATTTTATTAAATTAAATATTATGATTCTAATAAATTTTAAATACGTATGGAACTCAAAATTAAGAACTTTTAATATAGTGGAAGTATTGTAAGAGAACATGATAATGTTAATTACACATAATACAAATGTATTGACCAATATATATGACACCCATAACCCACCGCTCAACTCACAATATAGATCCACCACTCAGACCTATATTTATATTTATATTTATATATATATATATATATATGATTGGAAGAAAGGACATGAATTATTAATAATTTTAGTTGGAAAATACTACTCCCGACAAAAAGCAAGGGCTCATTTATTACTGTGATGATTTCATTTCGTCTTGACGAGAGGCTTGCCGCATGTGGTCTCAAACCACCACCCTACGTGGCTTCCATCTTCACCATTTGTGTCACCAAAACTTTTCCTTCTTTCCTTTCTCTGCAACCATGTATATGTATCTGTATATGTATATGTATTGTATAACCCCTCTCTCTATGTTGAAAACCTTCATATATATATATGTATGTATTAGGTTTGGAAAATAGCTAGAAGTGGTGGGAGAAGAAGGTTGTGTCTGGCTAGTAATCTTGGTGGCTCTCTTCTCAGTTCTTGATTCATTCTTGATCTGCTTCTCTTTTTGGTAAGTCTAATAATCCATTCGTACAATCTTTCTACGTTACTCGGACCTATATATTTACATATATACACACCTTATACTCGGTAAGGTGACTATATATATACATATGTATATATGCACGTTAATATCTGTTTGACGGAGTGCTGCCGTTTCATTTTCTGCCATTGTTTTTTGCCAACAACCCAACAACTAATTAAATATTATTAGCTTCCCACCACCCAAGAAATACTCAAAAGGTTTGGTCAGCTTTTTTTCTTCACTTTTTATCAAAAATTTATTTTTTAAATCCTAAGAATCATTTTCACTAAATATATAATTGTTTTAATTAGTGACTAATTAATGTTTTGCTACCCTAATCCTAGATTAATTAGTAGATGTAAAATATTTAATTTAATACCTAATTATTATCGTTAAAATAGTTAGGGGAAGAGAAGATGTAGATGTGTATGATATATATATATATATATATATATACATCTATAACAAAATTGGTGGAGGTAGTTTAGGCCACGGTGCTCTAATGAATGTCCATCCTAAAAAAAAAAGGTGGTATAAATTTTGTATGATGTATTTATTAATGAGTAATAAATATAGACGACTTTCTCAAAAAATAAATTAAATAAAAATTTTATTATTTTTTAATGAAGAAAGAAAAAGGTGATATAAATTTCAATATTATAATATGGGTTTTAATATCGAACGGCTATATATTTTATATGTTATAAAAAAATTAATTATAATTAATAAAATATAAATACATAATAAAAAAACCAATTATATTATATAAACAATAATAAAACATTCTCATTCTCAAAACAGAAAAAAAATAATAACAAAGAAGTAGTGGGACTCAAATGGCAAAACTGTGCCGTATTAGAGCTTCTCTCTTCTTCTTCTGCGTAATGATGTTCTACACGACTTCCAAAACAACACTCTCATTCATCACGAGCTTTTGATTCCGTCAACACTTTCTTTTTTTCCTTTTAAGCTAAAAATAATTTTAAGAGATTAACGAGTGTAATCAGTGTTTGGAGGTTGCAGTGCCGGAAATGGCAGAGATTACCAAGAAGCTTTTGAATGGAGATGGGAAAGGAAATGGAGGTGAGGAGGCGGTGAGATTTAAAGACAAGCTCTGGGCGGAGAAGAAGAAGATGTGGGTGGTTGCAGGTCCTGCCATTTTCACCAGATTTTCAACCTTTGGCGTCACTGTTATTAGTCAAGCTTTTGTTGGTCATATCGGCCCTATTCAACTTGCTGCTTATTCACTAGTATTTACTGTTTTCTTGAGGTTCGCAAATGGTATATTGGTAGGTTTTTTTAAGTTCCTTACGATCTCCTTCTTCCACTTTTTTTATTTTTATTTTTTTAACAATGATTTTCTGTTAGTTTTCATGCGTAGTGTTATGATATCTTGTCTTTTTCTGCTTTTAAAAAAAGGAGAAAGCTTTCTCCAATTTGTTCCCTTTTCTTTTATTTTTTTTTTCCCCTTTTCAGATTACAATATGTATTTAATATAGTCCAGATATGGGTCATCAATTATTAGTCAATGTTCTCTTGTTTTCTCATCCCATGATTTTCTGCTCATATTTTATGATGATTACTGGATCCCAGAAGTTTATATTTGCTAGTAATCAATAATTTAAGTAGAGAATATATGAATATATAATCACCGAGTTTAACTTTTATGCTTTGAAAAGTCTGTTTTCATGGTGAACTTTTGGAAACTTGAGAATAAAATATTAGAGTAAAAATGGTGATGAAGGATTTTAGTTTATGTACCTAAAAGTTTAATTGATGTAGTTGAATTCATTACTGTTCACAAAAGTCGATGCTTGGTGGTGGAGATTGAGATTTGCTGTAAATTTACGTGGTAAAATGAAAGTGGAGAAGTTGGAGTACTATTAGGACCTCTCTGCTTCTTATGCATTTGTCTGTTTTTGATGTGCTTGTTGATTTCCATTTTTTTTTTTAAAAAAAATCCTGTTCTTAATGGAGCCCGCAAAGGGGTTGTGGATACCGCCGTATGAACATCAGATGCTAGATATCTTATTTGTAGACTTGGTGAAATAGTTCAACATATTGTTGTACATAGAACAGATTGTGGCGTCATTTTGTTGAAGTGGTTCTTGTACGTAAAACAGATTTTGACACCATCCCAGAGATTTTTGTGAATCCTAAAACTAGTATGATGCTAGAAAGAATTTTTATCGAAACATTAATTGGTTGTGTATTAGCATATGATATATACAAGAGATTGAGTTATTCTCACATGGCCTTTTAGGCCTTAAAACTGCAGATGCTTTTCAGAAATGGACCCATGACAACATACTTCTGTTCAATATAATTTCTTGTATATTTATTTACTTTCTGCTTGTAAATTAATGTCCATGTATGATTTCTTCAGAGATTATTATGTAACTAGAGTTTCTTGTTCATCTGATATGTAGATATGCATTACGTTGAGGCAATAATAAAAATGATTTTTATACTGATTATGGTGGATATATACATGTATTATGTGCAGTTGGGCATGGCTAGTGCATTGGAAACTCTCTGTGGGCAAGCATATGGTGCAAAGCAATACCACATGCTTGGGATATACCTACAAAGATCATGGCTAGTCCTCACCATTTGTGCAGTCTGTCTTCTTCCTTTGTTTATCTTTACAGCTCCAATTCTGAGAGTTTTGGGCCAAGATGAAGAGATCATACAAGTGGCCAAAGGAATTGGTTACTGGTTAATTCCAATCATGTTCTCTTTCATTGTTTCCTACACCTGTCAAATGTACCTCCAAGCACAAGCCAAGAACTTGATTATTGCTTACTTGGCCGCATTCTCGCTTGTTACTCACCTCTTTCTCTCATGGCTTTTGACTGTAAAGTTCAAGCTGGGACTTGATGGGGCACTGACATCTACCGTTTTGGCATACTGGATACCTAATATTGGCCAGCTCTTGTTCGTTACATGCGGAGGGTGTAAAGAGACGTGGACGGGTTTCTCAACTTTGGCTTTTAAGGAGCTTGGCCCTGTATTTAAGCTTTCATTGTCATCTGGTGTCATGCTTTGGTAAGGTTTTAATCTGTCAATTTTTATTATCATAAACACAATAAGATAGGTGTAAGATATACTTGCTCAAAATGGAGTTAGTATTAGCCATGGGTTTCATTTTTCCTGAAATAAGTTTTTAAATATAAGCCGAGTACATAACAATGTTCGGACTTCTTCTGTGATGTACTTTTTAATGGATTTTGATCATAAATTATTATTATTTTTTTGACAGTCTTGAGCTCTGGTACAATACAGTTTTGGTTCTTTTAACAGGAAACTTGAAAAATGCAAAGGTTGCCATTGATGCTCTTGCTATCTGGTAATACATTTCTGGCTTCATTTATCTATTTGTTTCTTACGTTTTGTCTTCTTATGCTGACCTACATCCTTTGTTTGCAGCATCAACATCAATGGATTGGAGATGATGATTTCGCTTGGTTTCTTGGCAGCCGCTAGGTACCTGCAACTATCAGTCTTAAAATGTTTTATTTTGGTTTTTTTTTCAATTCACATAATGTCCGAAGAGAGTTGACTAGAAAATATTGAATGGAAAAATTCTTGAGGACTGTTAGATTCAGTAAAGAATGATTGAGCAGATGAATGATCAAATGAAGAAGAAATTTGATCAGAAAATCCAAGCAAAATGGATGCTGCTCAAGAAATTTGTGAGAGAGAAACAGAGTGTCGAAAACTGAAATTGTGAAAGTTGTTTTTCTGTCTTCTTTACTGAACAGCTGAGCAGTATTTATACAAGTAATTTACAAAAAATAACCCTATAGTTTCAAGTATTTATATTAATGCCATTCTATCTAATATTCTAACAAGGACGTTACTTAGAAGCTTTTGAGGATGAAAACTCATGAAGCAAAAAGTAATTTATTGATTACACGATTAAAATACATGGTAAGGCGAGATACTCATTAATTTCATATGGTAATTTATCGTAGAATTATAGTACCCTGGTTTGGAAAAACAAAATAAAGGGGAAAAAGAAAACATTTTGATTAACATTACAGTTTGATTAAATTAATTTGGATTTCCCAATTGCAGTGTTAGGGTGTCAAATGAACTCGGGAGAGGGAGCTCTAAGGCAGCAAAGTTTTCAATCAAGGTGATAGTTTCGACATCATTTACAATCGGATTTGTGCTTTTCTTGTTCTTCCTAGCTCTCAGAGGAAACCTTGCATACCTATTCACCACGAGTGAAGAGGTTGTTAAGGCAGTTGCTGATCTATCGCCACTCTTGGCTCTATCCATTCTTCTGAATAGTGTCCAACCAGTACTCTCTGGTAAGTTTATCGTTCTCTTTGTCAAATTCTCCATCGAACATGTAGGAAATCATTGCATTATACATGTTGTAGATAATGGACTAACAAATAAACTCACAATCATAAACAAACAGGAGTTGCTATCGGAGCTGGATGGCAGAGTGTTGTGGCATACGTTAACATAGCTTGCTACTACTTGATTGGCATTCCTATCGGCGTAGTGCTTGGATATGTGGTCGGATTACAAGTCAAAGTGAGTTTTATCCCATGCCTTTCTCTCATTATGGTTTCTCTTCTCTAAATACTTCAAATCTTCCGGGAAAGATTTGAGACCATGATCTGTTGCAGGGTGTCTGGACTGGGATGTTGCTTGGAGTATTTGTTCAAAGTATTGTGCTTGTTATAATCACTTCAAAAACTGACTGGGAGGAACAGGTATTTATGTCACGAACCCGTTTGCGTAGATGGTTTGTTGAAGGCCCCGAAGATCGAAACCGAAACACACAAAATGTTTGATGTTGTTTGAGACGATTTAGGGTTTAATTTTTGTCACGAAATGATTCCATTTTTGTTGTATAATCAAAATATTGTTCTGAACCCATTGTGGTAAGGGTGAAATTAGGCTGACTTTCCTGAATCAAGGTATGGTAACTTGTTCACTTATTATAAAAAATGCAATTAATTAATTATAAGACAGGAACTTGGGTTATGTTTTGATGGAGGGAAACATGGGAAGGCTAAGGAAAGACACACTTGCATAATTTATATATGCATATATGTATACATATTCTATATGTTTTTAGTTGAAATGTATACACCATGAAAATACTATTTTCAAACTCATAATTTATTGTGGAGGGAGGAATACACCATCCAAGAAAAGAAAGTGGGTGTACATACATTTTATATATGTTCAGATGCATGTGTGTGTATATATCTCTATATAGATAAAATATGTGAATTAATTACATTCTTCTTCCTACTAAATAAACTACCTTCTTCTTTTGAACTTTAAATGATTCTCTCCAAATTCTTACCCTCCAAGCGTTAACATGCCATATACATATATGTAAGTTTCTGCATTTTCATTTTATTGATGGGTTAAGTAACAATAACAATATAAAGAAAATAACGTGTATTATAAATTTTTACATATATATATATATATATCATTATTTTTCAAATTTTTATGGGGTCAACTGATCCCAAAGTGATCAACATAAATAGGTTGACCCAGTATACATACGTTGCATGTACACATAATGTGTGTGTATATATATATATATATGTAAACAAACACACATATCTAGTAAATATACACACATTAGGTACATGCATTGTACAGTACAGTAAATATACAATATGTATATAGCAGATATACAGTGTATATATTTTGTATACAAGTATATAAATACTCAAATATACAGTGAATATGCGATATACCCATATGCATTTGCAGACTCATTTTATTAATTATTTTCTCTCCAATTTCTTGGTCTCCAAACAAAAGAAAAAGAAGCTGTCACATTTTTTATTATTAATTTTTGAATTCTATCCTCTTAACTACACGTGCGTCCTTAATTAATCATAATTATCTATCCATAATCTGGTTTATGGTCAAAGTTTTTTCATTTATTTTAGTGGTAAAAACTTCAACTGTGGAAATTATCTTCTGTTACCCACTACAAGATTTTATTTTAATGGTAAAAATTAAACTGTTGAAATTATTATGGTAAGAAGATAATTTCCCATTAGTAACACCCAATGAATGAGCGACATGTATACACCGTTTGTATACTTACATGTATAAGAATTAGTTGGAGAGTAATTATTATTAGTTTGAGGTAGTAAAGATTCAAATTAAAGGATTAATGGAGGAAGGAGGCATGAAGAAGAAACTGCTGAGGGAAAAAGAGGGAGACGAAGAGGTAAAAGGAGTAAAAGAGAAGTTGTGGGAAGAGAACAAGAAGATATGGGTGGTAGCGGGGCCTGCTATTTTCACCCGGCTGTCAATGTTCGGCGTCACCACCATCACTCAAATCTTTGTCGGTCACATCGGTCCTATTCAATTTGCTGCTTACAATCTCATCTTGACAGCCCTTATGAGATTTGTAGTAGGGATTTTGGTAACCCATCAATTTCCCTCTTAAATTCTTCTCTTCCTCATCTATATTTCATTACATACATATATACATACATGTGTGTTAGATTTTGGGTGAGTGCATAGATATATGACTCAGTTCTTTCCCTTCGAACTAAGGGTTAGACCTTTTAATTACTTAATTAAATTGTTTTCATGATTTTAACAAAGATAAAAAATTAATTAATTATATATTTGTAGGGTACATTGTCTTAATACTTATTTTTTCAAAGAACCGTTTGAAATTTTATCATTTTTTTTATCTTTAGCTAAAAAATGTGCGTGTCAAAAAATTATTGATGTATTATATAATTTTTGGATGTCAGAAAGATTAGTACATGTTAGAAGACGGTGTAATATTTCAATAATATATGATTGTTGAGTTTCATATAAGAGTTCAAGTTATATAATACTAGTAAATTGAGTTTAAACTTTTGATACTTAATTATTTGAATTTAAAATATTATTATGCTAGTGGTGATCGGACACAAGTGGTTAGAAATAGTATCAAAATATCTGTCAATTTGATGATTTGGACATCTGAATGTTGATACGTGATTTTGTGATGTGTGTTCTTGATGAAGACATAAAAAATTTGAGTATTGGAGATTGTAATACTTCAATTTTAGTTTAATACACATTGAGAAAATATATAATTGTTCAAGTTTTGACGAAGACACTAATGATTTGACTCTAGAAAATTGTTAGATTAATTGTGTTTAAATCGGAGACCATATAGATGTATTATATATTACACTAAGTTCATGAATATTATGATATGGAATTACGATACACTAGACTAATAAGAGGAAGAATATATAATTACTCTCTTTTTGTACTGCAATTGAATTAATTGGATAATTGATGATACATATATATATATATATATATATATATATATATATGGATGCAGCTGGGAATGGCTAGTGCATTGGAAACATTATGTGGGCAAGCATACGGTGCAAAGCAATATCACATGCTAGGAATATACCTTCAAAGATCATGGGTAGTCCTCACCATATCTGCAATCTGTCTTCTTCCTATATTTGCCTTCAGTGCACCAATTTTTAGGGTTTTGGGTCAAGAAGAAGACATCATACAAATGGCTCAAGGAATTTCTTACTGGTTCATCCCTGCTTTCTTCTCCTTCATTTTATCCTTCACATGCCAAATGTATCTTCAAGCACAAGCCAAGAACCTTATTATCTTTTACTTGGCTGCATTCACACTCATAATCCATCTTCTTCTTTCATGGCTTTTCACTGTCAAGCTCAAGATGGGACTTACAGGTGTACTTATATCAACCAATTTGGCTTATTGGATACCTAATATTGGTCAACTCTTGTTTGTTCTTTGTGGACCTTGTCAAGATACATGGAAAGGTTTCTCAACTTTGGCATTTAAGGATCTTTGGCCTTTGTTAAAGCTTTCATTGTCTTCTGGTGTAATGCTCTGGTAAATTATCATTATTTATCATATTATGCTATATTATTTATAGTTACGTTACATGCATGCTTGGATTTTTAAGTAGATTTTTTTTTTTTTCACAGTCTTGAGGTCTGGTACAACGCAGCCTTGGTTCTGTTAACAGGAATGTTGAAAAATGCTAAGGTTGCCATTGATGCTCTTGGTATCTGGTAATACATTTATTTCTCTCCTCCTCCTGTTGTACATATATATATATATATGTATCTTTTAACGTAGAACTAGGATTAACATGCAATGCGACCCACACATATAATTTGTATTAAAATTTAAATCTAAAAAAACTCTCCTTAATTAATCTAAAATTAACTAGTAATTGGAATTAAGGTTCTTGAATCTTCTTGTTGTATCAAGAATTGATTTCAGTATATCATCTTTTATCTTTATAGTTGATGGGTACATGTGTATGTTGAGCTATATTATATTTATAAATATTCTCCTTGTTTCCAGCACCAACATCAATGGAATGGAAATGATGATATCACTTGGTTTCTTAGCTGCTGCGAGGTACCCACTTGAAGCTACACACACACACACACACACACTACTTGTTTCAAATGATTTAATATTTAACATGTATGTATATATATATATATATATAGAGGTCAATACTCAATTCAATTACATTTTAAAATTGCAGTGTTAGAGTGGCAAATGAACTTGGAAGAGGGAGCTCAAAAACAGCAAAATTTTCAATCAAAATGATTCTTTCAATGTCATTAGCAATTGGGTTTGTGTTTTTCTTGCTTTTCCTATTCATGGGAGGAAATCTCGCATATATATACACCACTAATCGTGCGGTGGCCATGGAAGTTGGTAACCTATCACCATTATTGGCTATCTCCATTCTCCTCAACAGTGTCCAACCAGTCCTCTCCGGTAAGTTTATTACTTCAATTCTCATTTTCTTCATCAAATAATCATACATGCCCATTAATTAATGAGAGAAATTATAATTAACTAAATTTAATTAATAAAATAGGAGTTGCTGTTGGCGCTGGATGGCAAAGTATTGTAGCATATGTTAACATAGCTTGCTACTACTTGGTTGGCATTCCTATTGGTATAGTGCTTGGACATGTGCTTGGATTGCAAGTCAGGGTGAGTTTCAATCATATATATACACACACATTATGTAATCAATTCCCAATTCCCACTCTTATAATCATTTAAATAAGTTATGAAAATGTGAATACACAGTGGAAACTATACATATTTATTACGTACTGTGTTTAATATGTTCAATCTGCAGGGTGTTTGGATTGGGATGTTGGTTGGAATATTTGTCCAAACCATTGTGCTTTCTATAATCACTTACAAAACCAATTGGGAGGAAGAGGTTGGTTCTTGATTAATTTAACTCATTCTAATTAGCAAACATTATACTAATTAGGGAACTGTTTATTTATTTATTTATTGTATTTTTAATATTTCAGGTATTTGTGACTCGAACACGCTTGCAAAAATGGTTCGTGGAAGCACCAGATCACCAACAACAACATAATAACGAGCAAAATGCTTAATATATATGTATATATATATGCATTGGCTCTTAGTTAATCCCTTTTAGGGTTTAAAATTTTCATTGGAATATTGTATGCACAATTCTTGAAAATATTATTGTTTTAGTCTTTTCATTTAATTTCAAATAAAATATTATAAGTTTAATTTTTAAGTTTGCGGCTCTTGCAAGATGTGACATGTCAATCTTGGCTTTTTGAAGTATTTTCTAACTCTTTATTACTAGTCTTAACTAATATATTGACGTAAAAAAATATGAAAATGATCGAATTAACTCCAATAATCTTTTACAAAATGCCATATAGAGACTTAATCGTCTAATTATCCTCCACTAATTGAGAATACAACCACTTAAGTGGTATGCATAAACAAATAAAAGAGAAATAAAAACGAGGAAAGAAAAACGCTACAGACTTACACAATAACTCGATCACAACTACTCAGCTCAACAAAATTTCTAAAAAGTTCCATACCTTTTGAAGAACTTGAAGATGTTAAAGAATTTAACAAAGCTAATTCTTGAAGAACGTAAAAGCTTCAAATTTTATTCTTCTCAATGTTTGTCTACAACTTATGTGTAACGGCTCCGGAAATTCAAAATGAAATATATATAATAATTTGAGTGCGGAAGCGAAATAAAAGATTAAGATTAACATCATTTACACAATAACTTAAAAGTACTAAACAATATCACGTAATAAGTTCTCTAAAAGAAATACGAGAAATGAGAAAAATAAAAGAAATTATAAAGCATCTAGCATTTATTCGCCGTCTTCTTGTAGATCATGCTCGGGAACCAAATCCTCTTGATCTGAAATGATTAAATACGGATGAGCTATACTAACCCTGTAAGAACATCACACTATATCACCGTCACAGAAGCAAAGGTTGGTAGAAAACTAAAAACAACCAATGGAGCACAAATTTTAAACCAATACATTTATTTAAAATAAAACCACTTACCCTTTTTCTTACCTTTGGAGAACTTGTGAAAATAACCTATAAAGATAATAATATCATACAGATCACAATTTCATGCATAATCAGTAACATAAAACATATCATAAATTCGTATTCATTAACAATAACTGATTATCATCGTTTCTCGTTTTCATCAGCCCACTAATATCCATGGAGATCCATAGGAGTATCCCCACTACACGTGAACCCTTCTTCTTAACAGTCTTAATTCCAGGGTCGTCCCCATACCCCGTCCGGTATGAACACCAAGACATTAAACCTCAATACTCCGTCCGGTATGAGGGTGAAGCGAGCCGTCTTCATATCCCGTCCGGTATGAGCACTAAAAATACCAAGTCTCCATACCCCGTCTGGTATGAGACGACGTTCACGGTAGAGTTCCCTATAGACCCGGTCCGTTCACCATCTCCCAGGATATCTAGTGAGGCTGTCACCTTATTTGTTTTCCCTTAGTCTCTGTTACCAACTTGAACATAATCACATAAACAATAAACATGCACCCGGTAATACAAACATATTTTAAATTCCAAAAACAAACACAGTGGTCAAGTAAGACAGTAACACATGCATTTAAAACTATAGAATAGATAGAGCATATACCATAATGCATTTAAATTATAAAATAAATTAAGCAGGAATCGACAGAGAATAATATTCGATTTCGGACTCCATTAGTAACCTTAATTAATTATACATATTTATTAATTTGCACAAAATACAGTATTACCTTTTATTCGAACTTTAATTCCATGATAGGAAATGGGGTGATAGGTCCTTACTTGATTTGACGCCGAAAACTAAATTGTTACTATGCCTACGGGCGGTCTCTTTATTCCCTGAATTTTTTCTCGGGAACTGAAACGCGCTTACGGTACCTACACATATCCCAAATAACCCAAAAATCAGACTCAGGGCCTACTCGGCCAATTTTGGAATTCCAGCACGGCAGCTCCACCGTGCTCTGGCGATGGGCGGCGACGATCCACCTCAGGTTGGCTGTTTTCGGCTAAATTCAGCCAAACTTGCATCGGTTCATGTAAGAAAACACACTTAGGGCCTTCAGTGGGCCGGAAAAATGTAAAAAACTGAAACTCACCGATAATGGGGCTCTTCGGTGCGACGGCTCCTCCGGCTCACGTTGCGGTTGGGTGTTTTTCTCCGGTCAACCTGTAGAGAAGGAAACGGTGATCACAACTGTGAAAAAATCACATCGAACAAAAATCAGGAAAGGCTTCATCGGAGGTAAAAACCCTAACACCCTGCGGCGGCGGCGCTGAGCTTCGGCGGCGTTTTTCGGCCAATTGATTGGTGCTTTCGCTCCGATTTGGCCATAGGTGGGTTTGAAATAAAATTCTAAGAAAAGAGTAGAATTTTTACCTCATTTGGCAGCCATAAATTGCTCCGGTACGGCGACGAGTGGCAGCAGTCGGCTCTCCGACGGCGGGACTGTCTTCTCCAGTGAGGGGCTCTAGCGGCTAGGGTTAATGTTTGGGTGCGGATGAGGTTATTTATATCAATCCGCTTTTAATCTGAGCCGTCCATCGCTTTTAATCTGGACTGTTCGTGCGCGTGGGAACGGATCTCAGTCGTTCGATCGCGCGCGGGAACGGATCTCAGTCGTTCGATCGCGCGCGGGAACGGATATCAGTCGTTCGATCGTGCGCACGCGGATCGCCCACGTGGTTCCCTCCCGCGTGACCTCCCGCATCAGCGTCTCTGCCACTTGGCTCGTTCTGGTTGGTCGGGGCTGCTGACCGGGCAGCTGACGGGGCACAACTTTTCTAAATTGTGTTTTGACCCCTGGTTTCTGATTTTTCTTTCAAAAATACTACAAGAACCCAAATTTTCACCCATTTTCCCCAAAATTATTTTCAATTAAATCCGTAAACAATTTTAACCCATTATTATTATTATTATTTTTATTAAAATAAATTAAATTAAATTCAATTCAATTAATACATATTTATATTTATATAGAATTAATAAAAATAAAATAAAATAAAAATAATAAAAATAGTTGGGTGTTACACTATGAGTAAAAACTTTTATTAAACTTTTTTTGTAATAGTTCTAAACAAATACAAAGACTTGAAAGATAAAATTCTATCATAGAATAAATAATAAAATAATAATATATTTCAATACTAATCTAAATAAGTAAATAAATTAATAATAAGAGATAGATTTATATTAAAATAATAATAAATAAATTAATAAAATAATTTCTAAAATTATCCCTTGTGAAATTTGGATAAAATCACATGGAAGTTATGCAATTAAAAATAGTCCTTGTGGAAGAGGAAGAAAGTAAGAAAAAGAGTCCAAGAACTCACACAAAGGGGCTGCCACGTGGGCAACGTGCTGGCTACGCATGGACTGCATGTGCGGGCTGCGCAGACGGGTCGATCTTCCAGCTGGCCCTGCGTGCGAGACGTAGGTGTGCGCCTGGCTTAATGGGCTGTGTGCGCGGATCTGCTGCTCGACTTGGTTCTGCGTGCGCAGTGAGCATTGTTGCGCACATGTGCGTGGGTTACATGCGTGGATGGTTTCCTTGGCCGAATGTCTTTCGGTTCGTGAGGCCTTGAGGACTTTTCGAGTTGGCCCAAAAGTGGAATTTTCTTCTTCTTTTGGCTCTCTAAGTCCATAGGTCACCTCTTAAACCTTAAGCCTTTTTGTTTGAAAAAATTTGACTCATATCTTAAAATAATCTCATTTAGAAAAGTAGTAAGATGTGCAATTATTTTTATGTTCTAGGTGTTTTCGTTTAAGAAATTGGAACTTACTTTCTCGTTTTAGTTGATCTCATTTAAAAAACAAAATGGTTCTTGAACTGGTTGCCTATTTGGGACAGGACTTTCAGGAATCTTTGCAAGAAAAAGAGGTTACATTTTCCCGCGTGCACAACTACTCATATTTTTTTAATAACTCTATTGTATAAAGAAATAATGATGTGAACATGGTTTATGAACAGATGGACGACTAAGAGAAATCAACCCATGACAAAGTCTAACCCAATGGAGAGAACGATGACCAAGGAAGAATTGAAAAAAGTATTACCATGCTAAGTGAACCCATCACAAGAGAAAGAGCAAAAAGATAATAACAAACCCTTAAACCTTTTATTTAAGAATGGATCAATAAGAATGATGAGTTTGAATCAAGTGAATAAGCCTAAAAGAAGAAGAAAACAAGCCCATTAACCCAAAGGTATAGTAGTCCCTATAATTCAATCCAAGTGGAAGAGAAAATCAACCAAGAAAATGCCAGGGAATTTGTCCATAGAAGGAGAGATCTTCTAAATCATAAAAACAAAAAAAAAATTCCGTGGGATTTTCTTTCTAAATACTGCGAGAAATCTTTTCCTTAAGAGGGATGATATGTCAAAGGAGGAAAAATCTCTTAAAACCATAAAGTATCTTAAGAAAAAAGAAGCCTCTATACAGAACCAAATTTCGGCGAAAAAGAAAAGATTTAGGTGGCCATAATACTCATTTAATTGCCAGTCCTAAATTTCTATTTATTCTCTCCTTAGTTTTTCTATAATCAATTAAGATCTCACCCATTTAAAATTTTTTCAAAATAGAAGATCTTATCTAGCCTAATTAACTAAAGTTTTCTTAATTTTTATTAATTTTTCATTTAAAGCAAGATTTAATTTTTTTTTTTGTAATTTTTACAATTAATTTAGAAAATTTATTTTCTTATATTGCAAATAGCATTCAATTTTTATTTGTAATCATTTAAGTTTCAATCAATAAAATTATAAAATTTATTTTAACTAGTGAGGTGCTTTCAACATTCTTGTTGAGTAAGGAGTTGGATCAACTTATTAAGGTATTTCTTATAACATTTTTCTTATTCTTATTCTTTTAATTTTCTAATGATTTTAGTTCCTATCACTTTATTGATAACGAATTAAGTTGGGAGAGTTTTTATAGGGTTTAAGTTTTTGGTGCCTTAATGAGTAGTGTGTAAGTTTTGGATTACATCGTTGATCTTAGGTTCTGTATCAAATGATAAACTCGATTACATCTAAATAAAATGAGCATGTCTTAATAAATATAAAATTAATGCCTTCTTATTCTTAACGAATTCTTGAAATGTACATAATGCATCTTCTTAATGGGAAGTATTTCATACTAAACACTTTATTAATATAATGATATGAAATTTTTTCACTAAGCTTTCTTACCTTTGGACCCTAAATTGATGGAGCAATAAGTTTTATGTTTTGCAGAAGGTATAATACACTATAATAGGCACAACTATTCAACTAAATATTCGCCTATCACTTTATAGATGTGTATTAATAATACGATAAAATATTTATTCTTTCTTGAAAAAGGTAAATTTAGGGTATTATTTTCTTGACTTTATGATCTCGTGTTAGAATGAATATATAATCATACATGAGCCATACAACACACTAAAATATCTCCCTCATTTTAAATATTTGGGAGACACTTAGATAAGGATAGTTTTCCCACAAAAAAAAAAAAAAAGAGAAAATGAAATAATGTGGAAGTGGTCAAGATGAGTTATGGATAAGGATAAAAAGAAAGGACTAATTGGGACATAGCCTTTATGATATAGCTATTGGATAAGTCCACATTTGATCGCCACCACCCATCAAGAATTGTTCCTTAAAATTTCAAAAATTAAATTATTGTAGGAGATTAGCTTAGTTTTAACTTATGGGTATTTTTATATTAGTTTAATTTAGTGTCTAAACAAAATTAATTAATTATATAAACTAACATTGGAGAATATTTCATAATTTCTAACAAGACCATGAAAAAATAAAATACATAGTTCAAGATCATATATCATTTTCGCTTGAATTCGAGACCAAACCCATTAAGTATGAAATCAAATCTCTATAAAATTTTTTTAAAAAAAATCCCTATATATTATATAATTTATTGAAATTTGTAATTTGGAATTTTGCTAACAAGAGCAAAATTTTGTTTGAATTAAAGTGAAAAGCACATGGAAAATAGAGACAAGTACGTAATTTGTGGAAAAGTTTATTTCGTTTCATGCATTGATAGGGCGTCAAAACCATGCACGTGTCTACTCATGCTAAGAAAAGGCCACGTGCTTTCTTTACTCCTTCACAGGTTGGTCTTCCTGTCTTCTGAAAAACCGACTACCACACGTTTATTTTTCTTTAAAAAATTCTTTAATTGTTTTTCTCGTGAAAGAAAATCTACAACGATTCTGCTTATCTCAAACGGAGATTCCAAATTTTCCCTCTCCACTCAAAGAATCATTAATAGTATTCACTCACTCACCACCCATATGATCTTCGTCTCAATCTGGGAAACCAATAATATGTAAGTATATATGTAAATGTGTGTGTGTGAATACCCATTGAGGAAAGCTTCTTAATTTGGTATTATTGTTGGGTTAATCTTGTGTTTCTCGTGAAAGAAAATCCACCACGTTTCCGCTTATCTCGAGTTGGGATTCTGATTTTTTTTTCCCTCTAAATCATTTATAATATTCACTCATTCTTCCTCTCTCACCGCCCATATGATCTTTATCTTAATCTGAGAAACATCAACCTAAGTATTTACATTTGTATATATTATTTGTGTGTTTTTGTGAATACCCATTGAGGAAAGCTTGGTAATTTCGTCTGTTGTTGTTCAGAGATGGATGGGTCAGGGTTAGAGGAGAGACTGGTTGAGGAAGGAAGAAGCAGAGATGGGAATGGTGATTTGAAGAAGAGGGTTTGGGAGGAATGGAAGACATTATGGAGAATTGCTTTGCCGTCAATTATTTTCAGAGTTACGGCGTTTGGAATCATTGTGGTGGCTCAGTCGTTTCTCGGCCATGTTGGGGAGCTTCATCTTGCTGCTTATGCACTTTTGCAGACTATTTTTCTCCGCTTTATAAATGGCTTACTGGTAAACTACTTATCTATACACATATATATATATATACACACAATAATCAATTCTTCTTCTGCGTTTTATAAATAGCTTCGATAGTAAAATTAAGCTGCTTTTTCTTTGGTACCCAAAATGGAGATCCAAGCATTGACCCATTGCTTGGCTGTAGCTAATGTTAATTATATATATGTTCAGTATATATGCTTAATTTCTTCAATTTTCCCCTAGAGTATCATATGAAATATATATATATATATATATATGTATATGGAATATGGGTATGATGTCAGTGAGTATTCTCTTTTCTAGGGGAAGATTAATTGGACCACAGTCCTTTTCATTAAATGTATTACTCAATTATTTTTTTCAACAAATTATTAAATTTAATCTCTATTTTTTTTTTAATTTTCTGACAGAAAAATTCAAATTATTAAGTAGTGTTTGGATGGTCTCAAATTTTTTTTTTTACCTAATTAATAAATAATTAAATTAATTAATTAAAATTATTTTTAAAATTATTTAGAAATAATCTAATTATTTTTTAATTAAAAATTAAAAGGATATTAGTGCGTTTTAGATAAATAAAAAATATTAAGATTAAATTATAACAAAAATTAAAATTTAAAATTTAATAATTATTAAATTTATTTATTTTTTACTCTCGGCAGCGGACTCGTGAGTTTGTCTGAGATGTTCAAATCACCACCTTTTTTATATAGATCTTTTTTTGTCGCTATGTGCTATCTAACTACTGTGTGAGTATATATATATATACACGTATACATGGCGCACGTGTAGGACTGTATAAAAGACAAGTAGGAAAGGCAGACTTTAACCAAAAAGTTCATTAAATCTAAAGATTTAAATAATCTTCTGAATATCAACTTTTTGAGATGTATTCATTCCATACTGTGTTGACAAGTCGG